GTGGGCTGAAGCTGTGCCACCAATTATGTTGCGGTGAAGGCTGTGGACTGCTGGGGAATACTGGGCGGTCACTGTCAGCAAGCATAATCTGAAATGATTTGGAGAATTATCTGTTGTATCAGATAAAAGAACAATATCTTGAGCCAATCAACTTGCCATCTCTTTTGTACATGGTTTACCTGCAAGGCTGCAAGTTGCGGTGCGCTCTAGTTGGGAACCAAATCACTTCAGCGGCATACTTAGTCCAGCAAGCAAACCAATAAGGTGATTCCATACACATTTTGAACATAGGGGTGGTCATACTTTTCCCAGGTGATTGTGCAACTTCACGAAATCATCCATCATCAACTCTGACGGTCTAGCCTGCAGCAATAATGAATTTAGTGCACGACAGAGGATGGATAGACGGAGGGAGAGCTTACCGTAGCCGGAAGACCGATACTGGTAAGAGCGGCCTCGATGTCAGCAGAAGAACATAGGTGTTGAAGTGATTTCCGAAGCATCTTGCGCTTCCCATTGAACGCGGAGTTCACCTGGAATTAAAGGGCACGGACTAGTCTTAATGGCTATCACCAACAACTGGCGGTTAAGTGAAAAAAAAAAGAGGAAACTTATGTGTGCAGTCTGACTCACCATTGAAAAGAAACTTTTGTTAGAACTTACAGGCGGATACTCCCCAGCATCCTTTATTTTAAACCTTATAACACCACCATCAACCTGCATGGTATCCATGACAAGTCCTTACATGCCACAGTTATGAAAACCCAAGCATTGTTATAGCATGCTGCGGATAAGCACATTGAAATAATAAATTGCTTACCGTCGGTTGAGGGAAAAGGTTGGCCCTCTCCACTTTGAATTTGTATTCAAGTTCTACAAAAAACAAAGATAACATATGCATGTCATTAACTGTGATAATACTATGTAACTAGGCATACTAAGCATGAATTGCGTTAGCAGTTACTACAGTACAGAAGAGATATAATCTGCCCACACAGGGATCGAACACAGGCAGGCAAGGAGATAGCGCTCCCATCAGATGCAGCAATGACGACACTTTTGATCATTTAACTGCTCAAGAACACTAGCTAATGTGCATCAGAGCATCTACATGTCGAAATTCGAAATAATGGAGAAAAACAATTCCTTGTATAACGCCCAAAACAATATACCCATTGTTATGAGAGTTTACTTACTGTTTTCCTCAGATAAAAGCATGATTACTTACAAAAACGAAAAGAACAAAAGAGTAAACCTATTTTCAAGTCTGGATGATGGAATGCAGATAAAGAGTATTCCACACTGTCATGAAGGTATCAAACAGGTAAAACTAAAGGAAGACCCTCTTACCAGAGTAGAAATTCACAAACACATTGATAGGTCGGTACTCTGGTGTTTGTATTGAAGCATTTGCAAGGCGTAGTGCTGCTTCATCCTGAAATGAAAAATTAATAAGATGTACCTTTTCTTAAATAATGAAGACAGGAAGAACCTCACATATAACAACGACAAAGATCACTGGGAAACAAAAAATCCAGAAATCTAACATAAAATTTGGCAGAAGTGATAGTAGAGGAAAATAGAAGACGCATGAAAACATCATAATGTTTGACATTAATTGATACACAGAAATGAGGAGTACTTTGAACATACAAAGCAGTTTATACTGCAGAAATAACCAAAGTTCAGTCATCTTCTGAACCAACACTGGGTCGTAATTAACTAGAACTTGCAAACAACATGTATCCACTTAATGCAAAAATAGATGTGATGCAAACCTGAAGCATGAGCACCATGACAGAGAAAACATCTCCCATTGGGAGAATTTGTTTGACAACTTCAGTGCTGACATTGAATGGTAAGTTTGACACAACCTGCAAAATACAAAGTATGAGGTGGAGACAGAAACACCTTCATCATGACCAATAGTTAACGAATTCTGCAAGAAGTTCAATGAAATACAAACAGCGCCAAACATCAATGCTAACCTTGGCGTATTTTTTCGTGCCACAGGATTTCTCCTCCAGGATAGGGAGAAAATGGGAGTGAACGTGAAATTTTGTAATATCTTCTTCAATGACCTGCATTAAATTTCAAACTCATTACACATCAGGTGAGAACTATGTTTGATTTTAACATCCAATTAGAATTTCTAGCTTTGTTAAATATGTAACAAAATGTCCATCTTTGGTGACAAGAGCAAACTATTAAATAGTAAGATTCGTTATCTTGGATATCCAGAAGAGCAACCAGAGAATGGTCGGTACAATAGCCCTTGTTAAAAAACACAGGGATGGTTATCATACTTATATCACTATAAAGGGAAAAGTGTTAAAAGCTATCACGGTGGCTATCACACACTGTATGTTCCTGTTACATGATAACTTTTGAGCTTAGCACCTTAGGCATTTCATGTTAACAACCATCTATCACAACATATACTTGCTAGAAGTTCACAGCCAACAGAAGTGTTCATGGACTAACGTACCCACATAAGTTTACTCTGTCGAAAATTCAGAAGGATTCATAATATGTGAACCTTACTTTTCATGTAAAAATGTGTCATGTTTTTTTCAACATAAATAACTCCGCCTATGTCTTTTAGGCATAGCCGGTCACAAGCCCGGGTAAAGGAGGAGGGTTGTGATAGGCTTGGCGAGCCAACGTAAAAACTAGCCAGTCCCATGGGTATGAGACCCATTTGAGCGAGAGTAGTACTAGGATGGGTGACCTCTTGGGAAGTCCTCGTGAAAGGGTTTCATATATAAGGGTTGTGATAGGCTTGGCGAGCCAACGTAAAAACTAGCCAGTCCTTTGGGTATGAAACCCATTTGGGCGAGAGTAGTACTAGGATGGGTGACCTCCTGGGAAGTCCTCGTGAAAGGGTTTCATCTAGCCTACCCCAACTTGTTTGGGACAAAAGGCTTAGAAGAAGAAGAAGAAGTTTTTTTCAACATAAATAAGGTTAAGTTAGCATGAAGTTCACTACCAAATCACTATGCATAATAACCAAGAACATTATAAATTTGAACTGGAATACTACATCATTCAATTGGAGGTATCTACAACCGTCTGTAATGTAGCATGTGTTTTAGTACATACACAGTGTAAAAAGAGCGATCCTGCTGTCGGACCCGGCTTATAGATCTCCAGAATTTTTTTGAAGAATGAAGGTACAAGCCATGGGGTTGCCTTTTACTACCATTCGAGCAACATTAACAGTCAAACACAGGGATGAAACAATCCAATATGTTCATTTGGGAACAGGACAGTACCTTCAATTGCTCTGTGGATCCAAACCTATCTCTCACAAGGGTAGCCATATGCTTATCCTGTCACCACCAGACAGACACATAATAAAAAGATGGTATTGCAGATTATGGATGGATTCAGTTAGCAGGGCTACTGGTCAAGCAACAGTACTGATAGACTAGGAGAGTGAAATAGGCGGACCTTCTCGACGGCGACGACTGTGGCGCCGGCGGCGAGCAGCGCGGCGGTGAGAGAGCCTGTTCCGGGGCCTATCTCGAGCACGACGTCCCCCTCCTCCACCCCTGCCGCCGCCATCAGCTCCTCGTTCACCCTCGCGTTCAGCATGTAGTTCTGCCGCACAGTGAGCGCAACCCCACGGTGAGAAGCTAGAGGACTGGGGGTTCCGCGGCCGCCATGGAATGGAATGGGGAAGGAGAGGGTGGCTGGAACGACGGACCTGGCCGAGGGATTTGCGGGGGACGTGGCGGCGGCCGTGCGAGTTGAGGGAGCGGATGGTGGAGTGGTAGTCGTCGGCCGCGCCGCCGCCGTCGGACGCGGCCGTTGCGACGGCGGCTATGGGACGGATACGGCCGCGAGGCGGCGGCGGCCGGAGGTGAGGAGGCGTGGCCGGAGACGGGGAAGGGCGCGGCTGGCGCGGGGATAAGGAGGTGAGCGCCAGCATTTTTGAAGGCAATATCTTTTTTTTCTCCCTTTTGCCTTTATTTTGCTGAAATTTCATACCCAAAAGGCCAAAAGCCCAAGCCCAAGACTTCGGCCGCCCCAAACCCTCTCTTCCGCGGCGGCGGCCATGGAGATGAAAGAGGCCGCCGCGGCGGCGGCGGCGGCCGGACCCGACCCCAATGCGCGAGAATCCCATGGAGCCGCGCGGAGTGGCGACTGCGACGAGGCCGACAGCGATCTCATCAGCCGCCTCCCCGACGACGCCCTCGGCACTATCGTCTCCCTCCTCCCCACCAAGGACGGCGGCCGCACGCAGGCCCTCTCCCGCCGATGGCGCCACCTCTGGCGCTCCGCGCCTCTCAACATCGAGGTCCGCTCCCCTGCCAGCCCCCAGCACCCCTCCTCCGTCCCCCCCTCCGCCGTCCCCAACATAATCTCCCAACACCCCGGCCCCGCCCGCCGATTCTCCTTCCGCTGCCGCGGCGCCGGTGATCTCTACGCCCAGACGGAGCGCTGGTTCGCCTCCCGGGCCCTCGCCAACCTCCAGGAGCTTGATATCGGCTACGAGTACCCCTCTGCACGTATAAGCCACCCGCTGTCGCAATCCGCGTTCCGCTCCGCATCCACCCTCCTCGTCGCCAAGATCAAAGATTGCAGTTTCCCGGACGCGGTCTCACGGTCAATGAATTTCCCCCTCCTCAACCAGCTTACCTTGGATTGTGTTTCGATCTCGGGGGACGCGTTCCACGGCTTGCTCTCCGGCTGCCATGCCTTGGGTTGGAGAGCTTATCCATGCTCGAAGTTCATGCTGCTGGTTGCTTCCATGTTAGCTCACCAACTCTTAGGAGCATTGGCTTCCGTGATAGCTCTGATGAAAAAGCAGAATTGGCCTTGAAAGGTTATTGTTACCGTATAGTCACCTGAATGATCGTGTGACTATCCGGATTATTAGGGCACCTAAACTGGAGATATTTGGGCCTTTCTCGCCGGACTTGTGCCAACTCCCGGTCTTCCAGGTAGCAGCAACAGCCATCATTCAGCATTCTTACAAACAGATAATTATTTTGATGTTGGCTGTTTTCTACTTTCTTCAGGGAATGGGCCCAGTCAGCTCCGCAAACTCGATATCTACCGTGAAGGTTTTGGCTCTCGGGTGTCATAGTTATCGTCTGAATGCAGTTCTTGACATCCTCAGGTGGTTCCCCTGTTTGGGAAAGCTCTATGTCACCGTGAGTGTTCATCTTGGCCTGCTTTAAATGTATGCTTTGGTTGACATATTTATTAATAACTAGTCTGACTAGTTAGTAGCAAAGCTCTAATGTATGCCTATTTATTTTTTACTGTTTTGCAGTTTGGCATGCAAAAGCAAAATTTGCCTCATTATGACCGACCACATCCCATGGAATGCCTTCAGACCCATCTAAAGGAAGTGGTGTTGAAGTATTTCAATGGTTACGAGCAACATATTGACTTTGCCAGGTTCTTTGTTTTGAACGCAAAAGTGGTAAACAAAATTGAATTCCATGTACGTGAGGACCACTACAGCAATGAATTTGTGGCTCGTCAACACACGCTGTTCGAAGCCGAAAACAGAGCTTCTCCGGATGCTCAATTTGAATTCAGGAAAACTTGTGGTTCTATTGATTATCATGTCAGCAAGCATATCCACGATCTGTCGGTGGCCGACCCCTTCGCAGACAGGGTTGATGCCTGAAGATTGCCCTCTTTTGTGCTTATTCTCTAGATGGGGTTGATGCAAAAGGAGTCCACTTCTGAAATATTGTAATGGGTAGGAATGCAAAAAAATTACTGCTGGAAGTTGTAAAGTGGGATGGAGCTGGTAACCCCACCCACCAGAACTCTTCTGGCCCTTTTGGCAACTTAACTGTCCTTTCAGTTATATACAGAAGTATGAGAAGTTTAGTTGCCGATTAGATTTTTCTGGATGCACACAGCTTATGTATGATGCTTATGAAAGGTCAACATGCACGCCAGGCACTGTGATTTTCTATCTAGGATGTTCGGCTAATGATCCTGGAACAGGCTTCGGTTGCCTCCTAGTTGATCTGCCATTAAAGTCTGAGTTTACTGGAATTAAACTTCTCTCAGTACTTACAAAATTAGCAAGTAATTTTCCTAACAGCATTATTTTGGGCTAAGGACCTGAAAAAATGTGTGGGGCTGTGGGCTTTGCCAGGAAAAATCATGTTTCTAAACAGCTCAAATATATTACTCCCGCCCTCCGATCCATAATAAGTGTTGATGTTTTGTACTACTACTAGATAAGTAGTATTTCTAAACATCTTTGTTGCTCGCGAAACCGGGTTTTTGCTGCACCTTTATCATTGTGTATGGGGCATCCTACATTCTTAAGGTAAAAGAGGCTTGAGATCCTGAACAAACTTCAGCAGTTTTGATGGAGTTGGCGGCATTTTGTTCCTGGACATGCATATTGCTGAAATTTGGGATGGGCTTTAGGACCATATAGCAATTTCTGAAAATCTCTAAGGAGCCCATGTGGGTTATATGGCACTAGATGTAGTGGAAGTTTAGGGCAAGGATGGGTTGGCTGAGTATTATCCCTAGCCACCTGGGTAAGGATAGCCACATCTGTTGTTTGGTTGAATGGAGTTCGCTGAGTTGGATAACCACATTTTGTTGTTTGGTTGGAATGAGGAGAATTGGATAGATTGTTGTGATGACCTCTTTGCTATAAGAAGGTGAGATTACCCATATACATGCATTTTTAGTTCAATTATTTTCAAATATCATCATACCACATTCTTTTGCTAGTGCTCGTTTTGTTAACATTCCAAATCGCCACCTTCTTTTTTAACTGAAAATTGTCACCTATGAACCACATTACCGAAAAAGGCTTTCGCCCCGCTTTATATATAAAGCACCAACCACTTACAACGAGCGATACAACACACAACACGACACGCACCCAAGGCAAGATACATAGGTGTTAAGACGTAGCCAACACTCCCCCAAACAATTCCAAGACAACAAAGATACACACTAGGCACACTAGGAAGTCGAGGGAGAACTCAACCGGGAACAAGCCACAGAAGAAACCAAGTTGCAAGCCGTTGATCCATGAACCCCAAGGCGGTGCCTTCAAGAAGGATACGCCACCGGAGTGCCGCCACCACCCGATCCAGAGGATCAAGATTTTCATCTGGGGTAACTTGGAGGACATGGAGCAACCGCAACGGAGTCTTCAAGAAGATGCCGACGTCCTCGGGCGCCGCCTCCGTCGGCCTGGACATGCCAGGCAGGATTTTCATCCAGGTCAACAACTCCGCCTCCGAACAGGTTATGGACAATCCTGGGGACAGAGCCACATCACCGCCACCGACCGACAAGCACCAGCCGCCATGCCACCCACGCGAATGGAGACTAGCCCGCACCTGAGCCGCGAGCTCCGCCCACGAGCACGCCGCTCCCACCACCAAGGGCGCCGCCCTGCATCCCGACACTCTAGAGACCGACAAAGGAACATGCTTGGAAACGATCGACCAATCCCTAGCACGGACAGAGCTGCCGGTGACCAGCCTGCCCTGAACACCACGAACCCGGAAGCACTAGGCAGGGGAAATGGGGAGGAGAGGAGCGGAGCATGTCCGGACCGGCGCCCCTGCACCGGTGACGGGTAGAGAGCCCACTCGTCCCTCCTGCAACCTTCCCAGGCGTCACCCCTGACGCCCCGCCATGGCCTCCAGCCAGCCCGATGCGGCGCAGCAGCGGCCACCCCGTCCACCGCGGCGAGCCGGCGAGGGTCGTCGGACCGTCCGAATCCTGCAGCCAAAGAGGGCCTCCAAAGCGCCCAGCCACCATTGACCCACACGGCCGCACCGCTGCAGGAGCAGGCCGCACGCCGCCGCGGACCACGCCCCGAGCCACGACCTCGCGAGGTCATGGCCAGCCCCCCGCGCCGCCTACCAAGAAGGAGCCGCCAAATCTGAAGGCCGATTTGGAGCCCCGTCGCAGTCGGGTCCGCGCCGCCTCGGCCGCCACGACGAGCAACACCACCAGCAACACACGCAACCCTCCACGCCGAAGCAACAGCCACCAGCGCCGTTACGCCCCACAAAGCGTCACATCCCGGAACAAAGGGGCCGTCTCGCGCCGCCCACCACCGCTCGGAGAGGAGAGGAGGCCCCGCCGCCGCCGCTGTCGGACGGGCTTTGCCCGCCGACAAGCTCCGACGATGGCGAGGGGAGAGGAGGAGGAGTTGAAGGTAGGGGCGGCGGCAGGCCCGGTCCTACGATTTTGGGGGCCCGGGGCGAGATAACAAAAAGGGGCCCTAAAGCCATATAAATATATATGCTTTTTTACTATTTCAGTTACAAATTACTACTCATTTTACACTATAATTTATAATTTATGTTGCTTTGTCATCTCAACTATTCAAAAAATAGGGCACATAAAAGTTGCTCACGCTTTTCAATCGATACAATTTTTTAGTCTTTTCAACCGATACTTTTTTTTATCAGGTGAATTTGTTACACTTCTCTGCAACTCAAATTTTTATCATCTTATAATATTTCGCTACGTTGTTCTTCAACAGTAACTAAAGCTAATTCTTCAATCCCTAGAGGAAGTGCTTACTTTATTTCTGAGGAAGCACTAGAAGACTTTTTTAGGACTCAATCAACTCATATGTATGTTTTTTTTTCTCTTTGTCATATGGATACTTTTCAACTAAATTAAAAGTGATACAAGAAATTAAGAACACTGCTAATTAAATATACAAGGAAGGGCATGGAACAAGGTACCTTGATGGCTAGAAAATAGAAATTGCAAGCTTTTGCTGCTGCTTACGAGTCACGAACAGAAATCCTAGTTTTCCTTTTCTGCTCCCAAAAAATACAGGAAACCGGAGTGTGCGAGAGAGATATGTACGAGAATTAAAACTTCATGAACCGAACCATCATACTAGTCTGTATAAAAAGAAGAGGTAGTTGATGAAATCTTGAAAATCACATTACCTTCCTCCACTAATCGCGTCCAGCAGCTGAAAATCACAAATAGACGATGCCGGTGACATGACGTTGAACTTGGCATTGGCATGGCCGATTCGTTGCCAATTTTTGAAGAGAAGAAATAGAAAGACTAGAACACCATTGGCGTGAGGCAATGCCAGAATTAACGGTCTGTTACAGTTCTTTACATTTTTTATTGAGAGTTAATTAGTCAATCTGTTACATGGGAAAGAATTCTTTCCTAAACATCAAACACGTAAAAATCAATCAATCGATCTGTTACATGGAAATTATTCCTTACCTATTTTAGAATCAGGGCGATCTGTCAATACGGGAAAGAATTATTTCCAAAAAATTACAATTCTTTCCTAAACATCACACAAATCCATCGGGGGCCCCTTCCTACTTGGGGGCCCGGGGCGGCCGCCCCCCTGCCTCCCCTCAGGGCCGGCCCTGGGCGGCGGCGGCTAGGGTTTCCCCCCGTCGCTTGCGGGAGCGACGCGGGGGGAGGGAGAGGGTTATGAACCACATTTGATAGCACAATCAAGTGATGCGAGCTAACAACGCCTGATTATGGGATTTGCATCATGTCAAATACAACCTCAAAGGAGCATCAACGTTCAGTGATGTACTTGTGCCTCTGTTTGGGAAAACAAAACACATATGTTTCTGATTTTTTTGCTCAAGTAAAAAACCAAGCATGTCAACTAGACGGGAAACTAATCAAATCCAGACATTATTCATACACAAACAAGCTAAGCTGCAGAGAAACGAGAGAGGTAAGGGTTATGATGTACTCCCTCCGTTTCAAAATAGATGACTCAACTTTGTACTTCCTCCGTCCGGAAATAGTTGTCGGACAAATGAATGAAAATGGATGTATGTAAAACTAAATTGCATCTAGATACATCCGTTTCTCCGACAAGTATTTTGGAACGGAGGGAGTACTAACTTAAGAGAGTACTCTGCTTCTCCTTGGTTGATGCAGAGAAACGAGGAGAGAGATTAGACCAGCGCATAGAAAAGAACAAAGGAGAGGAGAGAGGCCTCGCCATTCCACAGCGTCAGTGTTGCCTGTTACCTACCGCCGGCGCTCGTCGAGCCCGATCAACGCTGCTTCCCGTCCCACGCTGTCAGATCCCCCGATTTCCCGCCGCCGGTGCTGTCCCTTACCCGCCGCTGGCGCCTGCTGAGCGCAGCCGCCACAGCTACCCATTCCACGCTGCATCCCCACCGCCATAGCCAGATCTTCTGAATAGTTGCATCCCCACAACGTGGATTTTTCCTAACGCTTTGCGCGCGCAACGTGAATCCCTGCCGCTCATCTTACATGATATCCAATTGATGTGGGCCACCATTATGTCAGCCATGCAATGTATGTACAGTACTTTATATTTTTTGTCACAAGTCGCTGCATTCATCAAGTTTTGGGCCGGTATGGTATCCTTTTTAGTTGTGCCCGTAAAACTACATGGATGTGTCATACAAATTAATATTTCGAAGATTCCTTTTTTTTAACGCACCACAAAGCAAAAATCACGCTATGTATACAAAGTTTTTTTAATTTTTATGGCAAAGTTCGAAGACCATGTTAACAAAGTTCTTTGGTTTTCGATAAAAATTCTAGTAAAGTTCTTTCATATTTCTAACAAAGCGCAAACCAACTATTCAAAAAGTTCTTCACAGTTTCAAACAAAAATGTGTTTCAAATATATCCAAAACTGGT